GTTTTAACAAGCCCTCGTATGTGCGTCTGTCAATTTGCTGCTTTTACATTTACTGTTATACCTTCATGTACATGAATCTACTTCTCTCAGAGGAAGCTATTGAGACATTGCAGGATTGTTTGTAGAGACTCTACACGATGTATTGATCAGTTACATTTTACTGAATGTTCGTTGTTGAAACAAATGAAACAAAACCGTTTGTTTTTTCTCAAGGGCCTGGAAAATCCTTTTTAACTACGTTATATAGTAGAACGTTCTGCAGCACTTGAAGGGCCCGTCTCGTGTGTTGCACGTTGCCTTTTTCGGTGACCTTGCCTCACAGAGTTTCAACTGGATGTTAACTAGCAGTGACCAAATATGAAGTAGGTGTTGTAAACATGCCACAGGGTACGCTGGTTGTTTATTAATGTATATCTATTGTGTGGGATGTGGTCGGGACAGTGATCAGATTGGCAAAGGTCAGTTTTATTCTTCTATTACCCACACAGCAAAAGTACAACCAAATCTAAAAGAAGATTAATATTTATAGAAATATTTATAGTGTAATTTTTATCAAGTTGGATCCTGGTATCTTGTTTTTCTTGCTATTAGCTGTATGGAAATGATTCAATTCATAAATCGTAATTATTCTTTGTTTGTTTAAAAAATTACTTCAATATGTTTTTTGCGTTTATAGAGGTATAAACGTAAAATCAGGCGTGCAAACTGTGTGAATCCGCCAGTTTTTTACGCTTTTTAGCCCCACATACGCAAAAACGTATTGAATAGTTACGTCAACAATAATAACTTTACATACAACTTGTTAAATCATTAACACAAACAACTGTAGACCACACCACGAATCAGTGACAGAGAATTAGTGAAACCCAAGCCCCGCCCTTTCTATTATCAGCCAATCAGAAAATAGTTAGTGGCCGTGGTCTAGGCTGTTTAGGGTTTATGGAGACTTAAACATAAAACCTGTTTGGGTAGTTGATCAAATGACTAAGAAACCCATGCAATTTCTTTACTTAAGCATAAAGCCAGTAGTTAAAGTGTTGAGACACGATAGTATGTTATTGGGCTTATCATCGCACATATTAGGTCATTATGTATTGTTAATAGTAAAACATGTGGACGAAAAAATTGGTTCTGTTTTTGTCATATAAAACTGTAAGTTCAGACGGGTGAACATTTGATACGACAATATAAGAAACGATGCTCCAATGCACCGGCTTACATGGACATACATAAGTGAATGCATGCGCGCGCACGCACGCACGCACGCACGCACTGTAGCTCCCCTGGACATGTAACTAACACTAACATTTACTGATTTGAACAAAATCAGATCTCATCATAGGCATCTTCAAGGCAGAACATGTTCACAGAGACAAATTTCATTTGAGAGAATGTAAGAGCATGATCAAAAACGGAACATATAATATTATGTTGTATCCCACAACTAAATAAACGAACAACAAATTTCATTACATGTTTGAACAAATGGCAAGTAATGGTTATCAATAGACTTTTCAAAATGGCTGCTGTGTCGACCACATTGAAAATCAGATTATATTAGAAACTCTAGAAAATTCAGATGTCAGCATTGGAAGGAAGACACATGTTCATTGGTCCGGCGGTTTCCGAGGAGAGTACAGTGCACAGAAATTCATTTTGAAGGAAAATATAAGCTTGGTCATGCGCAAAGGTAAAACTTTTAAATACCGCAAATAAAACGGAATGTATGGTTTCGTTAAGCCCCACTACCAACTACACATAACAAATGTTAATGATACATGCAGTGCTCTTATATTGTTGAGGATGCTTCATCCACCTGTCTTTTCTGAGCGCCATGACATCTACACCAGAAAGTGAGCACCATGAAGGAATATGTGTGTTCTGTGCTTTAAATAGATTAATATTTTCAAATCGAAGAGGCAATGAAATGAAGCCTAAACGGTTTAGTGAGCGGACATATCGTGGGCACAAGAACCCACGCATAGATTGGAAGGTCAACGTCTCCTCGGGTCATTTGACTTGACCTCCTGTCGTTTCTGTTTGATTAAATACAAAGGTTAAATCAAGGTCAAAATGTTTAGATATTTTATTCTTGCGGAACACGTTTGTTGAGCTACCACTACTAAACACACATATACCATTTTGAACACGGATGGCTAAATAACGATCTTAAATAGCTTTTTTAATATGGTTGCCGGGGCGACCACATTGATAATTGCATACGAACCTCTGGTACATTTTGCGGTATCATCATTGGTGGGGATAAACATATGAAGTTTCAATGGCCTAGCGGTTTCCAAGGCGAAACTGTTCACGACGGACGCCGAACAAACAGGTCACGACATGAGCTCACTTGAGCTAAAAAAAGCTGGTTACAGTTATATCCTTTTAAACACTACATTTGGTCTACTTACTCAAGGTAGCCGTACTGAGAGGAGAATTGTACAACAGATTCCACCCACAGTGTGATCAGTGCAGGAGTAGTGGTTACATCTGCCATCCCTTTCGTGGTTGTAGCAGCAGTCGTTGTAGTCGTTTCAGCTGTCGTCGCTGTTGAAGCTGTCACTGCTGTAGTAGTTGGTGGAGTCGTCGTAGCAGCTGTCGTCGAAATCGATGAAGCTGTCGTAGAAATAACAGTTGTCCCTGCAACAGGCGTCAGTGTAGTAGTTGGAGCTGTTGTTGCAATATCAGGTATCACTGTTGTTGTAGCAGCAGGAGTCGTAGTCGTTGCAGCTGCCACCGCAGTTGAAACTGTCGTAGTAGCAGGTGTCACTATTGTAGTAGTTTGGGTAGTCGTCGTAGCAGCTGTCGTCGAAATCGATGAAGCTGTAGAAATAACGGTTGTCCCAGCAACAGGTGTCAATGTAGTAGTTGGAGCTGTAGTCGTAGTCGTTGCATCTGTTGTCGTCATTACTGCTGTCGTCGTAGTCGTTGAAGCTGTCGCCATAGTCGTTGCAGCTGTCGTCATAGTCCTTGCATCTGTTGTTGCAATATCAGGTATAAATGTAGTTGTAGCCGCAGTCGTTGTAGTCGTTGCAGCTGCCACCGCAATTGAAACTGTCGTAGTTGCAGGTGTCATTGTTGTAGTAGTTGGGGTAGTCGTCGTAGCAGCTGTTGTCGAAATCGATGAAGCTGTAGAAATAACGGTTGTCCCAGCAATAGGTGTCAAAGTAGTAGTTGGAGCTGTCGTCGTAGTCGTTGCATCTGTTGTCGTCATTACTGCTGTCGTCGTAGTCGTTGAAGCTGTCGTCATAGTCGTTGCAGATGTCGTCGTAGTCCTTGCACCTGTTGTTGCAATATCAGGTATAAATGTTGTTGTAGCAGCAGTCGTTGTAGTCGTTGCAGCTGCCACCGCAATTGAAACTGTCGTAGTTGCAGGTGTCATTGTTGTAGTAGTTGGGGTAGTCGTCGTAGCAGCTGTCGTCGAAATCGATGAAGCTGTAGAAATAACGGTTGTCCCAGCAATAGGTGTCAAAGTAGTAGTTGGAGCTGTCGTCGTAGTCGTTACAGCTGTTGTCGTCATTACTGCTGTCATCGTAGTCGTTGAAGCTGTCGTCATAGTCGTTGCAGATGTCGTCGTAGTCCTTGCATCTGTTGTTGTAATATCAGGTATCACTGTAGTTGTAGCAGCAGTCGTCGTAGTCGTTGCAGCTGCCACCGCAATTGAAACTGTCGTAGTTGCAGGTGTCATTGTTGTAGTAGTTGGGGTAGTCGTCGTAGCAGCTGTCGTCGAAATCGATGAAGCTGTAGAAATAACGGTTGTCCCAGCAATAGGTGTCAATGTAGTAGTTGGAGCTGTCGTCGTAGTCGTTACAGCTGTTGTCGTCATTACTGCTGTCGTCGTAGTCGTTGAAGCTGTCGTCATAGTCGTTGCAGATGTCGTCGTAGTCCTTGCATCTGTTGTTGCAATATCAGGTATCACTGTAGTTGTAGCCGCAGTCGTTGTAGTCGTTGCAGCTGCTACCGCAATTGAAACTGTCGTAGTTGCAGGTGGCATTGTTGTAGTAGTTAGGGTAGTCGTCGAAACATTATCAGATATCAGTGTAGTTGTTGCAGCTGTCGTCAAAGTGGATGAAGCTGTAGTAGAAATAACAGTTGTCTCAGTTACTGGTGTCACTGTAGTAGCTGGAGCTGTCGTCGTAGTCGTTGCAGCTGTTGTGGTAATCGATGCAGCTGTCGTTGTAGCTGTCGTCGTCACAACATTTGTCGCAGAAGTAGGTGTCACCATAATAGTTGAAATTGTAGATGTTGCAAAAGTCGTTGTAGCTTCAGGTATCGTAGTCGTAGTGGCAACTGTGATCGCAGTCGAAGGATTAGTTGTTTCAGTAGTTGTTGGTACCGCAGTAGATGAAGCAGATGCGTCAGTCGTATACGTAGTAGCTGTCACCGTGGTCGTTGAAGGTGTTGACATGGTAGATGTCGTGGTTGATGCAACTGGTCTGATACTGTCTAAAATATTCAGAAAATATTGTTGCAGAATAATATTTGTTCGCATGACTGATGTCCCTGTCTGAAGCTGAAAATCCTACAACGTACACTGTTTACCGTCAGTACACAACAATCACTTTTAAAAAAGGGCATTGACTCATTTCAATACAGGATTAATAATATTTCAGTCCTATAATGTCCGAAGTATTGCAGGTCTTAGGCGTTTACCAATTTAATGAAACCAAAAGCTCGGTTATGGTAAGGTCAAACCTAGAAACACACTCATCACGTCGAATTTGAAATTCGAACCCACTATCATAGTAAGTGAGTGAGTTGTGTTTAATGCCGCTTTTAACAGTATTCCAGTTATATCACGGCGTGTCAGCTTAATGTGGGAGGAAAGTCCGAGGTGATGCAGCTCTCAGACGTTTACCACTTCGGTGAAACCCACGCGCACGGGTATGGTGCTGACAAACTTAGAAACATAATCGGGGGGAGCCGGGATTCGAACCCACAATCATAGGTTTCTGACACGCTTTAGGGACGCAACTCTGCACGACGAATTTGAAGACTTACCTGGAAGGTTATATCCAAGCCACCACATCTCTGAAGTGAGATTTAACTGTGACACCGGTTCTGAGTTTAGGATGCACTTCAGAAGAGTTTGGTGATAGAAGAAGGCCGCACAGCTGGTCACGTTGACGCAGTTCACGGCACATTCAGCTAAACTGGAAACTGTCGTCATGGTCAGTATGCCGTTTAATGACCTCTCTCCGGTGGACACATGACGTAGATCGCGTATGGAGGTATTAAGACAACCATTATAACCATGTACAATATTCACAAAATGCCCTACCATGACAAGCATGAATACACCCATGGCTGCTGGACCTGGTCTTGGCTTGTTCGGTAAGATCCTGTACCTGTCAGTTCTTTCTGTCCGGTTGACACGAACAATTGGTAGTCAGCACTGGTACCTTGCGCTTGACACGTGATCTGCTTTTTAGTGGTCCATTTATAGCGTTTTCATCGTTTATTTCGCGACAGTGGAGTCGGTATCGACTGATAATCTGGTCATGCTCTTGCGTTGATGTTTTATACTCACTGTCGTTGTCTATGTTAATCCGAGTGTATATACGTATATCACAAATAAACCAACACAAATCAATGAAATTCATTACTCCATAAGTGTCCAATTATAATGGTTCTTTTGTGTTTGTAATTCTCGAAAGCTGTCCAAATACGAATAAGAATGTGTTAAAACTGATGACAGTGAACTTAGATTGACCAACTACTGGGAAAGCTCTGACTTGGTGTGATATTGTTTGTTGAGTTGTTGTCGCTATGCAATGACATGGAAACATCATTATCGACCAGCACAAATCAGAGTAGAAAGGACAATGTACATGCATGTTACTAACACAGAACCCTGAATGCTGAGTAATATGACAATTGCAATGTCGTTGAATTTGTTTTTGTTAAATAAAAGCGACAAAATCCTTTCCATATTCATAAGCATCTCTGACAATGTGTACAATTTCGATTATATCATGACCATGTGTTTATGAATCACATTCAACTGTAATCAACAACTAAAGTTCCCGTGACACCAATATTTAAGTGTATATTACAAACAAGTAAAGTTTGGTTTTCAATATTGTAGTACGTGTATGGAATCAAGTCACAAAAACGCAACTGCTACAGAAAAGCATGCATTCCATGCTAAAGTTTTCTTTTATGCAAGCCCCATGCATTTCACTACCCAAGAATGGGTATAAAAACATGTGCGATAACGGGACTCCATATGCTATGTTTAGTATCGTACTGACAACAACCACTCAGAAAACAACAACATTACGCAACTATTCAACATTACGAAATGCCACGCCTGTGCGTCTGCGAGCCATTGGTATGCTTGAAGCAGGATCGAGTCAACGTGATGTTGCAAGACAATTTAACGTCCACAGAAACACCATTTGGTGTTTATGGCAACGTTGGCAACAGACGAATGCAGTCAGAGACAATCCACGGAGTGGCAGGCCACACGTAACCAATAATCGACAAGACAACTGGATTCAAACAACACACCTACGAAATCGATTCCAGCCAGCAACAGTGACTGTAAGAAGCATCACTGGCCTTCGACGAATATTTTCACAAACCGTACGTCGTCGCCTCAGATGTGCAGGGATTGTCGCCAGAAAACCCGCCAGACGTCCCATTTTGACAGGACACCACCGTCAAGCACGTCTACAGTGGTACAGACAGCGTCTACGCTGTACGCCCATGCAGTGGGGACAAGTTCTATTCACTGACGTGTCTCGTTTTCACCTCAACCACAGCGATGGATGGATTCGAGTGTACCGACGTCGAGGTGAACGTTACGTCAATCATGTGTCATGGGAGAAGATCGGTTCGGGGCGGCAGCGTTATGGTATAGGGTGGGATAACAGCAAGACAGGGGCCCGTTTGATAGTGGTAGAGGGAAATCTCAATGGACAGCGCTACCGCGACGAGATCATCGGCCCTGTTGTTCTACCGTTTTTACATAGTCATGGCCCAGGCATTACCTTTCAACATGACAACGCCCGGCCTCATATTGCTCGACTTGTTCAGGAATCTCTTCAACAAAACAACGTGAATGTCATCCACGGCCGGCTCGCTCCCCTGATCGCTCACCAATCGAGCACATGTGTATTGAGATGGATCGGCGCCTTCGACGTCAACCACGTATTCCACAGACACTCCAGGAACTTGCTCCAGCAGATATGGACAGATATCCCACAGGACTTTGTGCGACGCCTGGTCCATTCCATGAGACGAAGATGTGTTGCTTGCATCGCAACAAGAGGTGGACACACACGCTATTGATTTGTAAATTGACATTTTGGCATGTTCATGTTTTTTATGAAATCACGCATTTTCTGAAGTCAGCATGTCAAATTTAACCATTTGAACACTTACAGGAGTCTTTTATCTGTTGCAAACCGAAATTGTTTCAGATTTGGTAAAAAAACTAACTTTGCATTAAATCTTAAATCAATGTCACAGGAACTTTTGTTGTTCAGTATA